CCTCGGCGCAAGTGGACGCCCTGTTGGCCGACTACCGCACGGCTAGCGTGCAGGACACGCAGACGCAGGCAGCCATCACGGCCGCGCTGCTGGCCTACCGGACGGGCCCGGACCAGGACGTGTTCACGACCAACCAGATCACCTCGGCGCTGGTGGCGCACCGCTCGGCCGCCGACCAGGACACGGCGACGGCCTCGAGCATCGCAGCCGCCCTGCTCAGCTACTACACCATCGCGCAAATAAACGGCCTCCTGGCCGGCAAGCTCGGAGTCACGGAGGCAGCCTCGGCCCTGGAGATAGCCGTGCGCTTCCCGGACGACGGAGGGGCCGACGAGGTGGTGGCCGCCATCGGGGAGCAGATCCTGGGCCCCACGGACGTCTCCCTGGCAAACTGGTCGGTTCGTCCCAGCAGCGGATGCAGCGTGGTCCTGGCCACACACACCGTGGGCGCAGTCCTGACTGTCCGAGGCCGACAACGTCTACGACCCCCTGTACGGCAGCTTCGTGGGGGACCAGGGCGCCTGGAGCACGGCCAAGATGTACTTCACCGTGCCGCCGAACGGGGTTTCGGGGCGCACTTCCAGGCGCCGGACCTGCCCAACCAGACGGCAGGAACGGTGGACGTCTACGGGCTCCAGATCCTGGACGCAATTCTGGAGGCCCGACGACGTCACGCTGGCCACCCTGGGCGAGGTGCTGCTGGAGCCCACCCTGACCACACTGGGCAACTTCCTAGTGCGCTCCAACAGCCAGAGCTCCGTGGCCTCGGCCAGCTTCACGGTGGCGCGAGGCTCTTCTGGGAGCGGGCCGAGACCGATCTGGTCGAGCAGCTGGCGGCCGCGTCCGAGCGCGTCTTCGACGCGAAGCTCACGCCCGAGGCCGTGCGCCAGCGGCTGCTGCCCTCTGTGAGGCAATCGCGCGGCGGCGATTGGATGCTGAAAGCCAAGCTGCCTGCCCACGTGGGAGGCTTCGAGCTGGAGGGCTACGCCATGACCCTGAGCGCCTTCGCCTGGAACATCGTGCGCACCTACACCCTGACGCCGGGGAGACGCTAATTTTTCCGGCACCGGCTGGGCACGGCCTCCAACTTGGTGATGTACGTCAGTTCCTCGGCACGGCCGCGCAGGAGCACGGCGCGCCTGGACTTCTCGTCGCAAAGCTGCACTCGCCTTCGGCGCATCGATCCCCGGCCTAGTGCAGCAGTCGGCGGGCACGCTAGACCTGTACAGCCTGCAGATCAGGGCCACTGCCTTCGAGAGAAAGTCGGTCTCCGTGACGGACCTGCTGGCCGACTCGCCCCTCACCACGCTGGACGGGCTCACTGCGCAGGGCAACGTGGGCTGCGACCAGCTGCTGTGCAACGACGTGAACTGCACGGACGTGTTCACGACGGGCGTAGACGCCTCGGGCGCGATCTCCTGCGCAGTGCTCACGGCCACTGGCACCGTCGCCGGAGCCACGCTGACGTCCACCGGCGCCGTCTCGGGCAGCTCGCTGAGCATCACGACCGGCAGCACCCTCACCATCAACAACACAGCCAACGCGGGACGGGACACCCTGACTGCCTCCGGCGCAGCGACCGCGGCGAGCTTCGCAGTCCACCGAGGCACTGAGCGGCGCTACGCTGACGATCACCGGGGCGGCCTCCACGGGCCCGCTGGACTGCGAGAGCCTGGACTGCACCTTCACGGCCACGAGCGGCGGCGTGCGCGGCGACGTGACGAGCTCGGGCACGGTCTCCGCCCCGCAATTGTTTGCGTCCAACACGCTCACCGTGACCAACACCTCCGACTTCGCGGACGACCTCATTTTGACGAAGAACTGGGCGGGCTGGAGCAAGGTCCAACAACAGCGCGGCACCCAACAGCGGCCCGGAGCTGTGGCTGCTGGACAACCAGAGTGCGCGGGTCTTCCTGGAGCGGGACGGCGGGGCGCACCAGTGCGAGCTCATCATGATCAGCGACGAGGCGCTGGTCCAGACGAAGAGTCTCTCGACGCAGCTGTCGCTCAGCCTGGTGATCGCCGGCAACACGGGCAACGTGGTCTGCAACACCAGCTTCACCGACCTGTCGGACAGCCGGGTCAAGACGGAGTGGGCAGGCAGGCCCACTCGGCTGCGGAGCTCATCGACTTCAGCCAGAACACGCGAGGGAAGACCAGGTACGCCTGGTGGTCATGGACGTCTGTATCCGGAGGCTGCTGTGGAGGCTGTGCTCAACAAGAACGCCAAGACGGTCGGCCAGGCCACCAAGCGGGCCACGCAGGAGCTGGTGGGGGATGACAAGAACTTCGTGGTCACGAACGACCTGGGCAGCGAATTCGCCACGCCGATCGCACCGTACGGCCATAGTGGACCGGGGCATCCAGGACCTGGCCACGCACGTGGCCCGCAAACGCGGGTAGTGGAGCGACCACTCTGAGCGAGCCGCGGGGGCCTGCAACAGTCACTTGTTGCACTTGGGGTGCAGCTGGGCTGCTACAGGAGGAACAGGCGCTTGACCTTGCGGTCCTTCAGCAGGGCCAAACAGGTCAAAGTCCACTTCGTCCTGTCCAGGTAAAGGCACGTTGGTCGGGTCAGCCGCCATTGCTGTCAAGCTGTCTTCTCGAGCGGGTTCTGCTTTTCTGCTTTCAGACACCATGCTCCGCTACCATGTGAAAAGTAGCGCAGCAGACAGCGAGCACACGCCTCACCTTTTTACTCACACTTGAAGCCTTGAGCCAAAGTTTGTTCAGTCAAGCGGAAGCTTGGTCACAGCTCTTCTGCAACCTTCTGGCTTGCAAGCTCGGCTTGGGAACTCGTATTCCCATGCAAGACAAATTACATGCTTCAAACACAAACCCTCAGAGTTCAAGCTCGTACTCTTTCAGAGTACTAGTCTCTTCACGAGAGCTTCTGAGCTCTTCTTCTCATCACTGGGCTAAAAGGCTGCATCAGCAGCACACCTGCGCAGCAAAACTCTTCAGCAAAACACTCGCGTGAAACGTGGCTTTCCAAAACACGTTAAAACTCTTCCTACCAACTCAAAACACTTCTGCTCTGCCAAAACTGTCTGTGTGCTTCCAAAAAGCGTTCAAGCAGCAAACAGGTCCTCCTCCTGCTCACTCCTACAAACTACCTACCAAGATGCAGCACACTCTACACTGCCAACATGCTTCCTAACAGCTTCAACACAGCTTCCCAAAGGAAAAGCTTCACAAAAGCGTTTCGACTAACAACAACAGCTCGCGCAAACAAAAACACAAACAAAGCGAGTGGGCAAAACGCATGCACTATACAAGCTCACGACTTCAGGACAACCAAAAATACTACCAGCTGAACTGGTGTCTTTTCACACAAATTGAATTTGAGGAATTAATTCAAGGAGCTTAAAAGGAATTCAAGAAAGGTGTTTTCGTCCCTTTGAGAATTCTAAACAATTTCAAACTTTCAAAAGCTCTCTTTAAGAAGTTCTCTTCTCAAACTCCCTTTGAAGCCTCTTCTCCAACCTCTTGAATCCCCTTCAAAGGTTTGGAAGACCCCTTGAAGCTCCCTCGAGAATTCAGCCTCCCCTTTGAAGCTTTTGAAGCCTCCTTGAAGCCTCTTTGAGAAACTTCCCTTCTCAAACCCTCCTTGAAGTCTCTTGTCAAACCTTCAATGTTCGACCCTCTTCAATGTTCGACTCCCTTCGACGCCCCTCTAACCTTCCTCGAATTCAATTTTGAGAAGTCTTCTTTCTCAAGTTCCCCTTCAACTCTCTTCTAAAGCTTCCTTCAAGCCGCATTCTTTTTTAGCAGGTTTGATGGAACTTAAGAAGGCTTAAGAGATGGCTTAAAGAGAATTAGGGACCGCTTTAGGGGAAACTGATGGAAGAAGCTTAGAGAGTTGAGAACTTGAGAGGAGAACTTGAAGGGAGTTAGTGTCTTGTGGGCTTTTCGAAAGACTCAAGAAGTGCCTAAGAGAAGGAAGCTTGTTATGAAAATCTGCCCTCTTTAAAACATCGTAAAGCGAAAATATGAAAATCACGCCCTCTTTTATTGATGTCAGTAAGCGAGAAAGAAAAAGAGTTGTTAAAGAGAGTTAGCTTAATGGTGGTTTTAAGGGGATTTCATCTTAGACCTCCTTAAGCAAGAGAAAAGATTAGTTTTTTTTGGTAACTTTCACACCTCCATGAACCTGTTTAAGCAAATGGAAGATCAGTTAAGTCAAAGAGGGAGTAGTAGCGCAGTGAAGAGCATCCTCATTTTTGGCAGTAGTATAAGCCAGAAGAATCAATTTCGAATTTGACCGCGTACGTGTTCGGCTTATAAAAAAAGCGGAGAGGTTGAGGGGGAGCGCAGCCTTCCCTGCGGGGGGGGTTGAGGGAGGGTGGAGCCCCCCCCCCTCTGTCTTATGTTTGGCTTTCCAAACTACCCCCGTTGCAGCGTGCCCCCCGGCTGTTTCGTTCCCGGGGTAAGTCCTTCCGCCCCGCCCCGGCTCCAACCCTTTCCCAAACGCGGCCCTGCAGCCCCAGCGCTGGCTTCTAGAAGGCCCAAAAGTGCGCGAAAAAAGCTCGCAAAATCTTTTGGGCCATAGTGCGGCCTGGCGGGGTGGAGTTTTGAAGGTTAGACTTCCACTACGGCTTTGGGCGGGTCGTCCTCATAAGATTCGACTCGGAAAGCGCCACAGCCGTCAAATGATGAGTGCTAGACTCGAGAAATACAAAGACTTCAAAAAGACTGCGTTTTGCACAGATACTCTACAAAGACTCAACACATAGAGTCGAAAGATTCCAGAAAGATTCCAAAAGACTAGCCGAAATTTCACCGATGCGCGCCGACTCGAACCGGAACTCCAACACGCAGATGTGTGCTGCAGACTTGAACCGAAAGAGCGATATTCTGACGATGAGTGCTGCATTGTCGTGTCAGTGTGATGGTCCAGCTTGCAGCAAACTCTATGCAAAAACTCCATGTGTCGAGAGCCTGAGTGCGCTGAATGTCAAGATAAAGATATGCGACATGAAATCATGATTCGCGCTGTTCTAAAGCAGTGGAAAGCAAATCCACCGGCCAACTGTGCCCTTGCACTCGCCTCTCTTTTTTGTCCAAGCCATACAGGCAACAATCTTATCCCAAGCTCGTGCTGCGTGCAGAGCCACGGGATCCTGGTTTTTCGCTCTTTTCCCTTCTTTTAACACCTTATTCATTATGTCCTTGACATCTTGTTCTTCGAAAGATTTCATAACCAAGTACCGGAGCTTCAGGTCATCAATCTCTTGCTTGAGGAGCTGCTCGTCTCCTGTGGTAAGCTTAGAGAGCTCAGCCTTCTGCAACCGTTCTTGCATCTCCTGCTCGGTAAAGGGATTGCGGGGAGCAGCGAGCGAAAGGACGCGCTGCTCGAATACAAGTTGAGGCCCGAACGTCTGCTTGCGGTTGAACTCTCGAAAGCTGTCTCTGGGAACGACCCAGTAAATAACAATCTTGGCGATGTCAAGACCCCGTGCAGCATTCTCCAAGGCGACAAGATCCAGGGAGTGTTTTGCGCTGACGGTGATCTGGAAGCATGTCATCACGCCGTCCTTAGGGGTATGGGAAAAACCAGGGGCACAAAACGCAAGCACTGCACACCAGCGCAGGCACTTTGACAGAACACATGCTGTTCGGGTCCTCAACAGGAGCCAGGCATGAATCAATGACCGGCAGGCCCACATCTCTGGGCCGCATGTATCGTAGCTGCCCAGTGGTGGCAGCTGTGAAAAGATCGGCGATGCTGCCGTCCACCACCTCTTCATCGAGTTGTGGAAGCTGCATCTCGAACATGGGAACGGTGACGTTGGCCAGCCGCGTCAGCAGCAACGTCCCCCGGCAGAGCACTTGGTGGGCGAAGCGTTCGTAGAGAACTCCGAGGACGGGCTTTGCAAGCGGATCAAACGATGTCAAAAGGTCAGCCAGCTCCGCCTCATACTCGTGAATGGTGAGGTCGAGTGCCTCTTCGCTAACAAACTCAACCCTGCTGCTGGTGCAACCGTTTTCCGGCACTATCTGGAAGAGCCAGTGCGCAGGCTTCAAATCACGTCCCTGATCAATGATGCCCGATGTCCAAACTTGCCTGACCAAGTTCTGGTTCGACAGGGTTGCATTGCGAGCCATCTCCACCTCCTTAGGGTCGCCAATCAGGTGTCGAAGAATACCACCAAATCGCCTGTAGAGCTCTTCCACCTGGTTCTGGTCGAAGTTGGGGCGGAGGTACTTGACTATGCACTGGGCCTCCTGCAAGGAGCTAGCTGCCATGTACAGTTTGCATTTGGGGAGCTTCTTGAACTCTCCAAGGTGCTGCGGATCCGGTGACGGGCAAATGACAGTCTTGGCCGCTACGAAGCAGACGCCTCCCTTTTCAGCCTCGCCGGGGTCGATGACATAGTAGTTCGCAGGGACTCTCAGCTCGTCACACGCTGCCGGTTCCCAGTCTTTCAGTTGCATGCTGCCGACCTCGTAGGTGCCGTCGGTGCGCGGCTTGAACAAGTACACCATGTTCCACCTGCGTGCTTCGAAGACAAAGGTCTTCTTTGCTTTCATGAGGTCGCGGAACAAGAAGGACATGGAGAAGGATTTGCCGATGCCGGGCGAGCCGGTCACCACCACATCCTGCGACGCATTGAAGGCCGCCTGCCAGACCTCTCGTTGCTGCTTTCGAACGAAGAGCCATGGCTTGGCTTCTTTCGGATCCAAGCTGGCGTTCAACGGGAAGATCTCGATACCGGCATCTTCTGCGGACTCTACGTCGGTGAAATTCTCATCAGCGCAGTCCAGAGCCGTCAGCGGCTGAGCCATGCGCAGCTCGTTGGCAAATGCCGTGTCCTTGGCGTCCACGACCCACTTGAGGCTACTCGAGGCGGACGCCTGCGCACAACACAGCTGGAGACGCCTCCCGACGGCCTAAGCCCTGCACCCCAAAACAATGAACTTGTCTTGGTTGCCTGACCCGCTCCCAAAGCCAATCCCGACAACCAGTCTGCCTGGTATCCAGTCCCAGATTGCAGCTCAGCTGCAAAGCTGAAGCTAAACAACAGCCCGCACAGTCTGACCTCGAAGGTTGTGCCCACAGCCCAACCCCGACAAACCAAGAAAGCCACCGAGGATATCGCGACAGCAGGGTGGCCAAGCACACAAACACAGATGCATAACCACAGCCTCCCGCGCACAAACAACCGTAGCCTGAGAGCAACGCATCCTCTCTCACCTCCAGTTTGACTGAATGAACGCAGGGTTGAGAAAACAGGATACCCCTCCGCATTCGGGTGCAACAGATTTGCAGGAAACCTTTGCCTGAGCCGCAAAGGTGCCTCCCACTCGACAAAACGAACGGGTGCAACCAGATTTTGTGAACCGCCAAGAGCCGTCGCTCCGAAAGCCTCTCCCACTCCCCGAACTGCTGCAAGCCAACACAGTGCAGACACCCTAACGACGAGGGGATCCTTGCTGAGAGGAAAGCATCACGCCAAAAAGCAACAACGGTGGACCGCATGAAAACGCACGACGACCAAGAGCCCCGGACAAGCAGGAGTGCTACAAACCGAAGGCAACATGCCCACGCAGAAGCCCTTCCAGAACCCCACTGCTCTCAAGGTCCGCGCGCTGAAGGCAAGCACTAAGAACTCAGGGTTGACTCGCTTGACCCCCCCACAGTAACCTTAAAGTCGAGCCTCAAACAAAAGCAACCGCAACCTGGAGAGCGAGCGCAAAGCGAGCGCAAAACAGGCTGACCTCCCCACCTCGAACCTAGGACTGACACCCCGTTCTGAAGCATCAGCCAAACACAAAGAGCAACCAGATTTGCATGAACCTAAAGCAGCCAAGAGCCCTCTGCAAGCCAAAACACTGAAGCTTAACGACGAGGGGACCGTTGCTGAGAGGAGAGCATGACCCCAAAAAGTAAAAAAGGTGGACCGTACTTAGTGCGAAAGCCGAGCACTAGGAAAGCAAGGAACACAAGGGTACCAAAACCGAAACAAAACCAAATTTCCAGCAGGAACACTGCCCATGAAAGCAAAGCGGGAGATGCGTGGTTCAGCTCAACAATCCTTTTGTGGGGCTCCACGCTGAGCAAAACCACTGAGTTCCCAGGAACCCCGACAAGGTTGATGAGGGGGGAGAGTGGCGTCAAATATGTTGAGGTTCTGTGGATGTGATCAGGGCAGCCCCACTGAAAGCATTTCCGCGGGGGAAATCAAAACCACACAAAACGTCAAACGGCACGTCTCAACGTCACCCGGCAGCAGAAATACATTGTGCACACTTTACATGCTCGTGCTGTCGGAACAAAATTTAACCTTCGGATTGCATTGTGTCTGCAGCAGCAACGACCATGGCAGAAGGGTAGGTCTTGCTCTTCAAAAGGCAGGCGACTGGAACAGCAGGCTCTTCAATATTTGCGGGTTCCCCCTCGACTGTTTGATAGTTTTGCGCTCCACTAACCACTCACGCCAAATCAGGCAGATATGAACAGGTACGGAGAAAATTGAACAACAGAAGGGGATGGAATGGCAGCAAAACGGGCAAAACATCGAGCAAGAACACTGCGAGTGGATGCAAAGCCGGGAATGGTTGAGCTCACTGCATCAAAGAGAACATTCATAGAATGCACTTGTGCCTGCAGCAGCAAGGGCCCCAATGGGTGCAAAGACATCAGAGTTTGCCCTCCCTCTCCCCGGCAGACGGGCAGGTCTTGCTCTTTCAAAAGCAGGCTGGGGGCAAGCACAAAATCACTCACAACGATCAACGGCACGTCTCAATCAATGTCGACCAGCTTTAAACCCCGACCTCCAACAAGGAAAGGCAACCATCCGTTCATGGGGGGTCCCTACCGAGCCTGCCAACGACACGAACCGCCGCAATCTGCAAAAATGCTATCTTGGGATTTCCTGGTTCTCTGGATGCGATCAGGGCAGCCCCACCAAAACCATGTGCGGGCCGCGGGGGGAATTTTCAAAACCACACACAACGACCAACGGCTCAGAACGCAGCCGGCCGGCGGAAGCGACCGACTCCGCCCGCCTCGGACTCCTTCGTCCGGCCGCTTGCCTTCGCCTCCTTGACCTCCTTCTCCGCCTTCTCCACCTCCTTCTTCGCCTCCTGGACCTCCCTCTTCGCCCTCTCCACCTTCCTCTCCGCCCTCTCCACCTTCCTCTCCGCCTCCTGCACCTTCCTCTCCGCCTTCTCCACCTCCTCCTTGGCCTCCTGCACCTTTGTCGCATTGCCCGAGTCCTCCGCCGTCTCCAAGACGGTGGCAGCTCGAGCGAGACGCCTCACCGCCATCGCTTCCTGCTCCTGGGCGCTCTCAACCTGCCGCTGGCCCGTCTTCCGCTGCTGTCGCGCCAGGAGCAGGTCCTGCCCAGGCCGACTCCCACGCCGAGCGCTCGAACGCGCTCGAACGGACGGCCTCCTCCAATGCCGTTTTGGCTGCTTTGGCCTGAAAAGCACCCACAACAAACGTGCATTTTGAAAATGTCACGAAAGCGCTTCTGAATCTGACCTGTTGGTAAAGGAAGCAAACACTGCTGCCTCTGCCACAAACTTCCGTAGCTGCTTCTCCAATTCGGGCTCATTAACCCAAACCTTCCACTTCCCTGCTGGATCTACCAGCTGCACTCTTCCTGAGCTCAACCGCGCCTGCAAATCCACAACGAACGTATTGACGTGCTGCTAAAGCGGCGCATGACCACTTGCATGTCTTTCAGCGTGCCGTTGTCCACAACCCGTTTGGCTTCTGCGACCACCTGAGCGAGACAAGGCTGGGACGTCGCTTTCTCTGAAGGCCCGCCGCCTCCTCGAGATCGAGCCGGTCCTGACAACCAACAAGCCCAACGTTCAAGCCCGATGCACGTGTCCCCCAGGCCTGGCCACTGTTGTCCTGGCGGCAACCGGCAAAAGATGCGAACAGGCTTCGGGTCGGAGGAGTCCTCTTGCGCAGCCCCGGCGCGCCGAGCGACTCCGGCATGCAACGGGTGCCGTTTTGCCTGAAAGAGCCAAAGTGCAATCTGCTTGCGCCTGCGGGCAACTCTGAGAACTGGCCAATATGCTGTCCTGGCACTCAGCACGAAACAAGAACATCCAAAGGAGGGACATCATGCTCCTTCAGCCCAGGAACTCCTCGAGCAAAGTCCTGGGCGGCGGCGACAAGGGACTCCTGAAACCCGAAAACCTTCGAAAAAAATGTGTCCCAAGACCCAGGCCGTGCTCGGCTGCACGAGCAGCGCCAATGCAATCCCGAGAAGGCAGAGGCACATACCTGGCCGCTGCCTACCGCGGGCACGGTAGCGTCACAAGCTTGCCAGCCTCGGCTTTTGGTCCTGGTCCGCATCATCGCCATGGCTATTCGAAAAGCGCTTGAGCGGCCTGCGATTCCTCAAGCACTGGCGCTAGACCCATCGGGCAACCTTGCGAGCTGTTGTTGTGTCAGTGTTGATGAGTACCCTCGAGCCAAGTTTCCAGAGCAAACACAAGATTGACTGGCTTCTTTGGCAACACCAACGCACGGGTTTGGATGCTCCTCCTCCTTTTCACTCGCGGCCTGAAGGTCGGTCGGGCCAAGCCTTGCAAGGCTTCGCAGCGTCCATCCGTCAGACTGGCTCACCCACATCCTGCCGCTGCATCAAAGTCCAAGCGAGATACCAAACTGGCCTGCCTGCAAAACAAGCAGCCGAAATCGGCACCGGGCCGCCAGGGGCTGAAGGGCGGGGGTTTCTGGGGTCCCTGGTCCCTGCAATCACTGGGGCCTCTGGGGTCCCTGGGTCCCTCCTAAGGTCCCTAGGGTCCCTAGAGTCCCTGGGGTCCCTGCACACATGTGCATCAGACGCCTCGCCAAGGCCCCAGAGTGCGCTCGTCCCTGTCAACGCACGGCGGGTTCAGGGACCTTGGGGACCTTAGGGACCTTAGGGAATTTAGGGACCTTAGAGACCTTAGGGACCCTAGCAACCCTGCAAACCCTACCCTAGGGACCCTAGGGACTCCGAGGACTTCAGGGACCCAGCGACCCAGGGACTTCAAGAGATCCTTGGTGGCCCCAAGGATTTTGGGGCTTGAAGGGATCTTGGCAAGAACTTCACGCCGGGCACCACTCAGCCTGGGCATTCTCCAGCATCATAGGGTCATGCAAAAACACAAAATGCCGAAGCCAAGACACACACACACATTGCAAATGGGCCACAAAACCACAACATCATCTCCCAACTACAAACACGGATGTAGAAAACATCATGTAGAGACATACCAACATAAAGGCACAAAGACATAAAGATATAAAGATATAAAGAGAAAGGTATAAAGATACAAAGATATAAAGATATGAATTTGTAGAAATACAAAGATATAAATGTATTAAATTCATAAAGAGATACAAATACGTAGAGATATGAATATACAAATGTATGAAAATAAATAGATATGAGTACACGAAGATAAATAGATGTATGGAAAGTTGCTCGAATGGAAAAACAACAGAAGCTTTGCCCTTCCGCGCGTCTTTGTGTCTCCTTGCGTGGCAAGCTGCAACCAACCGAAGCTTGAGAGATGACTTCCCAAGACCCAGGGTTGCTGGGGTCCCTAAGGTCCCTGGGGCCCCTAAGGTCCCTTAGGGTCCCTGAGGTCCCTAGGGTCCGTAAGGTTTCTGGGGTCGCTAAAATCCCTGAAAACGCCGTGTGTTGACAAGGATGGATGCACTTTGGGACCCTGGCGCGACGTCTTGATGGAAGGACGTTGTTTCATGGCACCTGCAGCGGACGCCCGCGTGCCCAGGGACCCAGGGACCCCAGGGACCCCAGGGACCCTAGGGACCCCAGGGACCCTCGGGACGGACCGTCAGGGCCTCACTGGGTCAAAGATCAAGGAGGCTGACAGATTGGTGACAAAGATCAAATGACAATAACCTGCACGGGACCTCTTGGCCATGACAATGGAACGCGGCGAGGGCCCGGGCGGAACGTGGAGCTCGAGGCGCAAGCTCAAAAGTTCAGAGTGCCTGAGCGCCAGGAAAAAAAATGCGATTTTGAGGAAACCACGCTGCCTGACTTACAAAAAACCTGACAGTACGACTTGACGGGGTTGGGGCAATCGCTCTCAAGGTCAAGGGTTCACCAGGTTGGAGAGACAATACAAAATGCGGGCCTGGCTCAACGAGGTCACGATTTCCAAAGATACACGGGCCTGACGGCGCGGCTTGACGGGGTTGGGAAAAGCACACAAAAAAGCAACGCGAGTCGCGCAAATCCTGGCACGGGACGGGGGGGGTGTCCGGGCCTCGCTAGGCCAAAGATCAGGGGCCTGACAGATTGGCGAGTTGGGACCCAAACCTCAAAGATCAGTTGGCATTGATGGCCATGACAACGGAAGCAGCGAAGGCCCGGGCAGTATGCCTCGATGTCAAAACAAAGCCTGGCACGGGGAAGCGCGAAAACGACCTTCAAAATCCAGGACCAAACCTGAAACACTGCTCAAAGGCCGAGTTGACACCAATCCGCACAGGTGCCCAGCCAAAAAGTCCCCAGTAGCACGAATTGGATCCACCTGCAAGCGGCCAACAAAAAGTGACAAAAAGGCAACTCCAAAGCGCGGCGCTGCGAGAAGATCTGCACGTCGAAGTCTGGGCACAGGGCACGTGAGGTCAAGAAAAACTGTGAGTCTGGAACCACGCCTTTGCACCCGCGAGCGGGTCCCTGCCGCCCGGACCCCAGAACGTCCCCGAATCTCGCCTTCACAAGGCTCACGTGCTTGGGGAAGCTCTTTCCAAACACGACCGACAACGTGAAAATCGTGAGAAAAACACAACACCGGCACCTGTCATGCAAAATCACGCTCAAAAACCACGCAAAACGGAATTTACGGAAGAACAAACAAAAAGGTGTTTTTTCCGGAAATGGCGGCCCTCGAGCCGCGTGAGCCGAGGGCCGTCCCTTTGGTCGGACCATTTTGTTGTCCGCCCTATAGAAAAAGGACTGGCAAGCAAGAGTCAAGATGACTACCATCGCCACTAGCGTCGCCCTGGGCGAGGTGCACACGAGCCCCAAGGGCGCCATCTGGCAGTCCGCGTGGACTCACGTCCTCTGGGAGCCCAGCAGCTTCGGCGAGGACCAAGGACCCAGGCAGAACGCCTGCCTTGCAATGGAAAGGGATTCCGAGGCCTGGGCGGCCTGGGAGGAATTCAAGAAGAGGTGCGTTAACGAGCTGTCTTCGCGGTCGAGCCGCATTTGGGGCGACTACGGCGATGTGAAGGACGGGTGGCAGAGCTGCCTCAAGGAGTCCCGACAGGGAGCGACCTTCCTGAAGTGCAAACTGTTAAGGCATGTTGCACTGCTCCTAGCTTGAACCCAAACATGAACACCCAAAAGAACAATGCAAGTCCGAAGCGGCCGCAGTTCTTTTTACCGGGATTGCTGAAAGTAGCACTGCTTCCAGGGCACAGGTGCGCCTGGAACAGGAGGTGCGTTGACCCCCCGTGAAACTTAAAAGGCAAGACAATGCGTGTCCTTGCAAATGAATGCAGTGCTTGCAGGGCGTGGCATGCGTGCCCACGCCCAACGGTCCGGAGACCGAGAGGTCCGGAGACCAATGCAGGTCCGGAGACCTGGTCCGGAGACCCAGTGGTCCGGAGACCACCTTCGAAAGTGCAGAGCGTCTGCGACTTTTGCTTGCAGAGCCTTGTATAAGGCAGTGCAGGGTGGGTGGGTGGGTTTCAAATGAAACCGCAGGTTTAGGAGCAAAACGGCCACCGCGTAGTTCGATTCACAACATGCCCTAAACACAAGGGCAAAGAAACCCTAAGCGTTAAGGCATGTTGCACTGCTCCTAGCTTGAACCCAAACATGAACACCCAAAAGAACAATGCAAGTCCGAAGCGGCCGCAGTTCTTTTTACCGGGATTGCTGAAAGTAGCACTGCTTCCAGGGCACAGGTGCGCCTGGAACAGGAGGTGCGTTGACCCCCCCTTCAGTGTTTCAGGCAACCCCGGTAAAAGTGAGTAGTGTCATCACCCGCCCTTCAGAGTGGGGTTGTACCTGGCAGGGCAAATGTCCGCGTGACGATGCACGCTTGCGGCTGTGAGCAGCCTGTTGCTCGGTGTCCGCACTTTTTTGGTCAGAGCGGCTTGACTTCAAGCGGCTGGCTGTCGCAGCCAGTTGTGCTGGTTGCCAGGGCGAACATTTGGTCGCAATGCATGTTAGAATGCAAAAAAGGGCATGGCTAAGCAGTGCTGGAAGCAGCTGCCAGGTGTTCCGGGCGCCAGGGCGCATCAATCGGACACAGCTGAATGCCTCGGCCCGACATTGCTAGGCCCGCTGAAGCGTATGCGACTTTCAGGGCGATGGCTGAATCGGGCCAACCGACCTCTGCTGAGATCGTCTGCCCAATCATTGCACCTTCCTGGAACGTGCGTCGGCTGCAGCAGCACATTGCGAGCGTGAGCCCAGAAGGCTGTTAACTGCACGAAGAGTTGCAACGGCCAGGAGGTCGTGAACAACTTGTTAAGGCTTGCTTCTGTTGCGGAATTGTCAGTGCCTGAGGGCATGCTGAATGAATAGCGCCCACCACCAATGTGGCTGTGGGTGGCTTGCAGTAGTGCTAACTGCGCCGGCGTCTCGAAACATGCGATGCACCGCTGTCCAGGCTTGACAAGGCAAGGCCACACGGACCGTATGTCCTGCATGTTCCAGGTTTCGGCAAACCAAACCACCTGAGAGGAGGTGATGGCCCAGCCCCCTATCCCTACCAAGTCGTCTTCGGCGCACGCATCCGCGGCAGCCAGTGCTTGCAGCTGGTGCGGCCGTGCTAAGGGCTGAACGGGCGAGTGCTGAAAGCACAACGCCAGCCACGTAAGGCATTGCTGGCTTGACTTGGAAAGGCTGGTATAAGGATTATTTGCGACCTGAAATTTCCAAGATTTTGGAGCCCACTGTGATCCACAAGCCGGGAAGGCTATGGCTGGTTTTGAGATCCTTGTTCAAGGATGCTCTGAAGGCAGACCACATTTGAGGTGGTATTGAGTGCATCGAGCCTGGTGGGCTGTTGAGGTCCGAGTATAGTGGCGCTAGCCAGGATCTCAGATGCAGCGCAATGCTTGTGGCCCAAACGAGCAGGCCTATGCACTGCTCGAGTGTTTTTCGGAGTACCCGTTTGCTCCCCAGCAGTGCTTTGATCAAGGCGTCCAGCTTGGTCAGTTTAGCGGACACAAGCTGAATGGTGTCGTGCGAGAAGTTGATCTCCCAGCCGCACCAAACAAGGCTGTCCTGAAACTGAGCCTTGTTCCATGAAAGTGGCGCCGCAATGGCGCAAAAGAAAAGCACCACCAAGGCAAACATATCTGGTGCGCTATCTCGGAAG